GGCTCTTCAGAGAAAGGCCCATTGATGCTGTTGTCATAGGAGTGCGGGGCCCCGACGCGCTGCTGCTGCAGCAGCTAATTAAGCAGCAAGTGCTGCCGCGACTGCAGCAAAAGCACAGACCTTTTACTGTTGTTTTGGGCCCTTTGGAAATCCCCTCCATTTGGGCTGGCAGCGACAGAGCAGCAGAGTCTCTCAAGAGAAACATGTGCAGAGAGGCCCTCATGGTAAGCAGCAGCAGCAGCAGCAGCAGCTGCTGCTGCTGCAGCGGGGGCGGGAGGGGCGGGCTGGGCTGCGGCGGCGGTGGGGAGGGTTTTGCTGCTGCTCAGACTGCTGCTTGCCGTGCTGCTGCTGCTGCCGAGGCAGCTAAAATGGTGCTGCTGCTGCAGCAGCAGCAGCAACTGCTGCTGCTGCTGCAGCAGCAACTGCTGCTGGTGCTGCTGGCTGCTGCTGCTGCTAGTGCTGCTGCTTCTGAGCGACGCCCCAAGTGCTTCCTAATCAGCAAAAAAGATGAATGAATTTTTTGTTCATTTCCCCTCCTGTGCATTTGCTGAATAATTGCCTTTTACCATTTACTACCAATTGCTTTTTGCTGCTGCTGCTGCTGCTGCTGCTGCTGCTCAGGCGCTGTCGCTTGCGAGGTTCATCCAAAACCCTTTAGCGGAAGCTGCGACGCTGTGGGGAGAAGGCGCAGACAATTTGCTGCTGCAGCTGCGGCTGCACCCCCTGCAACACGCCGTAAACCCTAAACCCTAAACCCTAGCGCTTCCCCGGAAACCTAGCTGCTGAACCCCAGGCCCTTCCAGGCCTGATTAGACTCCGCCGCAGCGCAAACTTGACAGCGATTCTGCTGCTGCTGCTGCTGCTGCTGCTGCAGCTGCCGCGGGAGCGTCTTGCTGCTGCATGCGAGACAGTGATGCTGCGGCTGGTGGGGGACTGTGGGGTGGACTTGCGGCGGTGCATGCGGCTGCACAGCAGCAGCAGCAGCAGCAGCAGCAGCAGCAGCAGCAGCGCAGCGCTGCTGCAGTTTGTCCCGGGGCTGGGGCCCCGCAAAGCTCTCCGTCTCCTGAATATGCTCAAGTCCTCCACCCTCGTTGTAAACCCTAAACCCTAAACCCTAAAATGAAAACCTCTAAACCCTAAACCCTAAAATGAAAACCTCGAGTTGGAGTTTTCGCGGGCCCTGGTGGTTTTGACCGCAAAGCACCGCCTGCACACCCGCCCCCCAAAACCGCGAATTTAGGGTTTAGCGTTTAGCGTTTAGGGTTTAGGGTTTAGGGTTTGCGCGCAGATGCGTTCGCAACTGTGCATGGCGGAAGACAGCGAGGAGTCTGAGGGAGAGTCCCCGCGAGGGTTTAGGGCTCGGGCCAAAGACCCTAAGGGTTTAGGGTTTAGGGTTTACGCCAATTGTGTTTCCTTTTTGAGTCTTAAGGCCGAAACCCCCGCGGGAGAAGGAGACACTCTTGATGGTTTGTTATTTTTATTTTATTATTTATTTATTTATTTGTTTGTTATTATTTATTTATTTTTTTTACTTTTATCTATCTATTATTTATTTATTTATTTATTTATTTATTTGTTTGTTCATTTTTTTATTTTAATATTGATTTGTCTATTTATTTATTTATTTTAATATTGATTTGTTTATTTATTTGCTTATTTATTTATTTATTTATTTTAATATTGATTTATTTGTTTATTTGCTTATTTATTATTTTTTTATTTTTTTGTTTGTTTGTTTTATCATTTATTTATTCATTTTTTAATTTATTTTTGTTTGTTTTTTGTTTTTTTCTAGTTGGTTTGTTTTGTTTTATCTGTCTTTTCTGTTTTTGTCATTTTTGTGAAAATAATAAAAAAGGAAATGAATACGTAAATAAATAAATAAATAAATAAATAATTGATGAATACCAAAATAAAGAATGATAAATATTAATAGATGAATAGATAAAAGAAATGTAATATTAAAAGATAAATGAATTAAAAATAGTCAAACGAATATAAATTTAAAAACAAGTTGAAATGAAGAAGACAAAAAGATGAAGCAGCAAGAAAGCTGTGAAGAATGAATTTCAATAAAATGAAATAAAATGAAATAAAATAAATGAATAGAAGTAATCATTCGAGTTGCTGCTGCTGTTGCTGCTGCTGCTGCTGCAGCACTAGACGCAACAAAGATTCACCCCACAGAAGACGGGGTTTGGCTGTCGCGGCTGTGCCAGAGAGCAGCAGCAGGGAAGCAGCAGCAGCAGCAGCAGCAGCAAGAAGCAAAGGAGAAAGCTGGCGAAGCAGACAAAGAAACTAATGCTCAACATCCAGCAGCAGAAAACCAAACAAATGACGAAAACGAAGAAGAAGCTATCGCCGAAGTCCTCAAGTCAGGGTTTAGGGTTAAGGGTTTGGTGTTTAGGGTTTAGGGTTTAGAGTTTGTGGGTTCTCGGGGTTTTCTGCACACACCGCTGAAACGATCCAGCGCAGCCGTTAGCCCGAGCTCCAGACCCTCAAAGACTATGGTTTATGGTTTAGGGTTTAGGGTTTAGGGTTTAGGGTTTAGGGTTTATAGTTTTGGTTTGCAGGGACCCTTCTTTGCTGGACGAAGTGGACTTGGAGGAGTTGGCGGCTCAGTATAAAAACGAGCCCGACGGGCCCCGCATTTTGTAGGATTTAATTTAATTAATTTAATTAATTTAATTAAATTAATTTAATTTAATTTATTTAATTTAATTAATTTATTTCATTTAGATTCATTTAAAATTCATTTAAAATTCGTTTAAAAACAATTTAAACCTGTTGCCAGTTGTAAACCTGCTGCTGTTCAGGTGCGGCGTTGGTGCTCGTTGGCAGCCAGGACTTGCTGCTGCTGCTGCTGCTACTGCTGCTGCTACTGCTGCGGCAGCTGCTGCTGCTGCTGCTGGTGTTGCTGCTACTACTGCTGCTGCTGCTGCTCTTTGTGCCTCTTAGCTGTGCTGTTTTTTGCTGCCGATTGAATTAATTAATTAATTAATTAATTAACCAATTAATTAGTTCATGAGTTGTTTGATTGTTGAATAAACTGTTAATTATTATCAAATAATGAATGTTGAATATGGTATTTAACCGATACTACCTGACGACAAATTACCCATCTACTCAATCAAACGGCCTAAATACTGAGCCTCGCTGCCGCTGCTGCTGCTGCTGCTGCTGCCGCTGCTGCTGCTGCTGTTGCCGGTGCGCAGGCCGTACCTGGAGTTTCTGGTGTCGCAGCTGCAGCAGCCGTTTGCTTCGGGGCTGCATGCGTTTTGCGGGCTGAGTGACTTGGAGCTTTTTTATTTGGCAACAAATGAGTTGGAAGAAGATTTAAATGAAGGCTCTTTGGTTCGCTGCCACGTGGCGCATGCAGCGGGCCTCCGGGTGTACGTACACCTCAAACCCTCCAACATCCGCGTCTCCTTCGCTGACCTCCGAGAGCTCAGATCCATTTTGGCCAAAAGAACCAAAGCCACTTGTCCCCAGGAAGAAGACCTTTCCCCCCTCATAGGTCTCCTGCTGCTGCTGCTGCTGCTGCTGTTGCTGCTGCAGGGGCTGCTGGGGTGCTGCGGGTGCTGCTGGGGTGCTGCGGGGGCTGCTGGGGTGCTGCTGCTGCTGCTGTGGTGCTGCGGGTGCTGCTGGGGTGCTGCTGCTGCTGCTGGGGTGCTGCGGGTGCTGCTGGGGTGCTGGGGTTGCTGCTGGTGATGCTGGGGTGTAGGTGGTGCGTGGGGTGCTGCTGCTGCTGGTGCTGCAGCTGGCGTCTGTGGTGCTGCTGCAGCTGCTGTTTGTGCTGCAGCAGCAGCAACTGCTGCTGCTGTCTGCGCCTCTGCCTCTGCTGCTGCAGCTGCAGCTGCGTTCGCTGCTGCTGCCGCGTAGCATGTCGGCGCTTGGCGGCACCGCGCGCTAAGCCCCCCCCCCGCTGCTGCTGCTGCTGCTGCTGCTGCTGCTGCTGCTGCAGGGGAGGTGCTTCCGGGGCGCGTGCTGCGGCTGTTTCTGGACCCGGAGCTGCAGCGGGGAGTCCCTGTCTTCCGCATTCTTTGTGTCTGCACGCATGCAGCAGCAAAACATGTTTTGTCTCTCTTTTGCGCCAAGACAAAAGCTGTCTGCGCCCTCGCCAGCTTCCTCTCTCCTGCTGCTGCTTGTGACCTCCTTGCCACCCGCAGCTGCCTCAAGTTGTGCGCAAAACGAGGGTTTAGGGTTTAGGGTTTAGGGTTTAGGGGTTCGGCTTTGGGGTTTGGAGTTTGCGGGGGGGCGGGAGGGGTTTTGGGGGCGGCTGTTCTTCGCTTGCGCTCGCGGCCTATTCGACGCTGAATTAGGGTTTAGGGTTTAGGGTTTGGGGTTTAGGGTTTGGGGTTTGGGGTTTGCTGCTGCAGCGAGAAGGAGGAAGCTGCTGCTGCGGACCACCAGACGCAGCAGCTGCAGCGCCACAGAGCCATTCGGCATCCCAATTATAAACCCTGCTCCCACCGCAGGGCCCTTCAGCTGCTGCAAGACCCTGCGGTCAGACCTGCTGCTGCTGCTGCTGCTGCTGCTGCTGCATTTTCGCCGGCACGGCTGCTGCTGCTGCAGCTGCTGCTGCTGCCCTGGTGCCTAGGAAAGAGCCCCTTTTGCTGCATTCAGTTGATACTGCTGTTGCAGGTGCTTTTGCTGCTCTGCCTAGGCAGCCCTCAGCAGCAGCAGTTGCTGCTGCTACTGCTGCTGCTGCTGCTGTTGCACCTTTGCTGGCTGCTGCTTGCCTTGATTTTGCGGTTTGCCCGCTGCTGCTGCAGGGTCGCCTTGTGTCTGTTTATTGTGGCTCTATCTGCTGAGCATCTCTGCTAGGGTTTGGGGTTTGGGATTTAGGGTTTAGGGTTTAGGGTTTAGGGTTTAGGGTTTAGGGTTTGTGTGCAGGTGCCAGTGGGGGAGGCTTTGTTTCGGCCTGGGGTCCACCGCGACGGCTTTGTGCTGATGCTGAAAAGCTGCAGCATGCCTTTTAGGGTTTTGTCGCTGCATGTGGAAGAAGTTGCTGCTGCAGCAGCAGCAGACCCAGCAGCAGCAGCAGCAGCAGCAGCAGCAGCAGCAGCAGGACAAGTCGGCAAGGAGCTCGTGCTGCT